CATACATTGGACACTAGTTTGTTTCTCCAGACTTATCAAGCTACCATACATTGGACACCAGTTTGTTTTCCAAGACTTTTCAAGCAATACGAGCTACTATACATAGAACACCAGTTTGTTTTCCAAAACATTTTTCTTCGCTTCCTCTTTTACTGTTTGTGTGTCAATATAAGCTTCTGCTTCTTGCTCTTCTGGCTGACTCAGCCATAGATAGACACACAGTGCTGTTCTAGAGTTTCTCTGATGTTATCTTTCCATTTTGTTCTTTGTCTACCTCGTGCTCTACCTTCTTTGCCTTCTCAAAGACAAAGTGCAACCAGGTCGATAATTTCTACATTAAAGTTTACACCAGTTTTTCCTAGGCTGTTCCATGAGTTTTTCTATGTATTCACATTCAAACGGTGGTTAGCATAGTGTTTGTGGTTTCTGGCTGACAGCTAGGCAGAGTGTGGTTTCTGTGCTTTTTTTGTTCAATCCCACATCCTAAAATCCCAGGTTTAGCAAACTCCTGATAAATACAACGAAGAAGAAGAAACCCCTAATTGGTCATCTTTAAAACATGATTATTGAGAGGGTGAGGGCATAGTTCGGTGTCTGTGGCTTCAGGTGTTTTTGAACACACCTTCAGCAAATTCAGTGGTGTCGAGAGACATCCATAATTGGTCTAGAAGCAGTGGCAAACTACTACTTCTCTGTTCTTATTTTTGTCTACTCGTGGAATACATCGCGGCAGGAAGAAATCTTTGCAACAGGTCCTTCTCTTCATGTCGTATAAAGTACTTTTCAGTGTGTCTGATATTTCTGTGTTCCATCTTCTGCATAGTCGACCTCTGGATCAGTTACCACTGTATTTGTATAGCATTGCTGTCTGTGGTGTATTGTCTGATGCCTGTCTTGTTACATGGCCAAACCATTTGATTTGTTGTCTACCTTAAAAGTTCAGTATTGGTTCTGTGCCGACTCCTCCTGATGTCATTGTTCCAAAGTCTTATCTTTTCTCGTTACACCTAGCATGGTACCTAAGCATTTCATTTATGTTGTGACTATTTCCTTTTGTCTTCTGAAGACAGTGTCCATGTTTGACATTGATAGCACAGCGTTGGTAAGAATATTGTGTTGAACAGTGTTCTTTTAGTGTTCATATTCACATGCTTGCAAACTACTGAATGTCAGATTACCTAGTGAAGTTCACAAACAGCAAAAACACGCTGGAGCTGGTTCTGCAACTTCATGTAAAGGATACACCACACACTTGGAACTTCTCAACCCACGCAGAGACGGTTCGGAGGGTGGCGTCATCTTTAAGCTTGGCTTAATATGGGCACATCTATTTTATATAGAAATTTGAAGATGGTTGGTGTCAATAACCCCGAACAGACAAACCCTATACCAGCCCAGTCGCATATCCTTTACACGAAGCTGTGGTTTTAGCTTCAGCATTTTGTCTGTGGCTGGTTTGATTTTACTAGGCAATTTTACGTTCACTAGTTTGCCACTGCTCTCAAAAAACGTTCTACGCTCTACACCAGTGTCCAGATCAACCCAGAGCATTTTTATTGAATCAGTATGTTAGAATTGCGACGTGTTCTTAACGCCTAAGCAGGTGACACCGACAGAGACAACTCGTGACTTCCCCGCCAGCCATTACTTTTATAAATTGGAAACGTACACATAATGATCTGATTCTAGAATACCGAGTCATCGCTTTTATGTACTGATAGCAAACCATTTTAGGACGTAGTTTTACCAGGCGCTATAATGGCTTTCAAAAGGACCATGCCTGTCGTTAGAGGTTGGCAGCTCATTTTGTAGAAAACTGGCCTAAAAATCCAATCAACCATGAATAAATTATGGCGGATCGAGAAGTGGGGGAAAAAAGTTGCGGCTGGATAAGAAATAAAGAAAAACCTGCTTGTGGTACGGGTAAACAGTTCTTTTAGTGGAACCTGCAGTGCGAAAGATACAGACATATAGATGGATAGACTTGCGTACAAGCGGTGGATGGGTGGAGAGAACTAAAAGTATGGTTAAGGTTAGTTGCGTATACTTTACAGGACGTTGCAGAACCAACCCCAACAGCCCCTGGCTGTTGTGTGGTTTTTCTAGTCAAATTTACGTCCCCCTGGACGGTCGGCTTTCTTGATGCCACTGTCGAAACCAACGCAAGGCGCATGGCCCGCAGCTGGGATCGAACCCGGCATTACGAAGCGTTCGCATCGACAGCCACAGAGCCGACAAAAGTATGGAAAAGGGCAAATTATATGTAGAGAGCGCGAAGAAGCCGCAGGACATAAGGTGGGGAAAGGGGGGGGGCAATAAAAGAAGATATTGGCAACTACGTCAAGCATCACCATGGAAACAACGACTGCCTTTAGAGTACTTGCTTGAGCAGCAGAACAAGCAGCCACATATGGAGATCATATCAGATTCCATAAGCACGATTAAGAAAATCGCTGCAACAGGCAGCCTCGGCTCTGAGAGGTAACGAAATTGCGGCCCAACTGGCAAGTAATGCACAGTTGCGTGTGAGCAGAAGCTCCGATTATACATGGTGACGGACAATGACGAGTCTCGCGCATTAACCTGTTTACGTGGCATGTGTGTACCTCTTGGTGAAGCGTTTTCAAGATCAAGATATGAGACGTTATAATTATAACAAACTTTTTAGGCGAACAATCAGCAAAGGCGCCTTGGTTTGGCTGCTGCATAAGGGGACTGGGCACGCACAGGGAAGCCTATTGTGTATTGAGGTAGACTATGATATCCTAACATAGCAGTTGATGGCAGTAGCTTGGCGCGGATTGGTTGTGGCTTCACTTCAGCGAGGAGCAAAAAGCAAGTGAAGGATGCAGTCTGAAGATTTGGAACTTTACTTACCAAATAATGAGCGAGTTGACTTATTAACGCAAGACAAAGAGTGCTTACAGCACACGTTGCTATTTGTTTCCAGGATGTTGATTTGGTTATCTCTGCATCGGTTCTCTCCAGAAAGGCATTAAACATAGAAAGACCTGCAGAACATATTTCCTGAAAGGCAATCCAGTTTTGGACACGCAAAAGTCGAACGACCTGTTGGATTAGACTTTCCACGTTATAATGTTGACAGAACATTGAAACAACAATACTTAATTTTGTTGTTGTTGTTGCTGGCATCTTTCTGTGTTTCCAGACAATAGTGTCATATTATGCTATAGGCTTCCACAGGAATCACAACCAATGGCAATCGTGTGTGTCATTGGCAAAACCGCCCCCTCCCCACTCTTCCGTTAAGACAAGACGTCTGCAGTTAGAGCGTGGATTCCAGGACCGTTGTTGTCATCACATGTTTCTAGTGCACTTCTCACCAGACGCTCAGCTCTCAACCTTTCTGCAATATCCCCCCCCCCCCTTATTCCTCCTTACTTCCTAATTTCCCTCCTACACTCAGCACATTCCATTATATTTAAGTTTAAGGCAAATCACTTGAAAAATGTATATTCTTAGGCACGCTAAGTTGCATATTCTTATAGTAACGCCGCTAAGACCGGTACCCAAGCCCGGCTGTAAAAGGAGGAGGGCCTGACTGAACCTGAATCCTTCATGTGTCTCCGGAAGTAATGGATAACCGTAAATCAGCCAGACGATCTGCATAGAGGCCGCAAGGAGGTAGTCCCTCAACCATGCAAAGGCACAGCAGGCTAAGTAATCGTCTGTTTTCCTGTAACTATGATTACAGCTTACCAGGCATATTAGTTAGTTAATTAGTTGGGTTATAATCATTGAACGCCGGACATGTCCCTAGGTGCTCAGATCCTGCCCACAGTATGAACCCCAACGTCCGATGGCTAATAGTACCAGTTCTATGTTGATTAACAAGTCTTCTGGTGTGCGTCTCGTTTTTTGCTAGGCCGATCTTAATTCTCAAGTCTGCTATTCTGGCGAGTAATGTGGATTCACTGCCTCCAAAGTCCTCTATCCTTCCCATTTCTCTGAGGGCATATAACGTCAAGAGCCAGGGCGACCTAGGGTTCATTGGGAAGACAACATCCGACAGTCCCCGACTGACAGAGGACTGAAAAGGAATAAAGCCTAAAAGAAAATTGCTGATAGAGAAGTCTGACGATCTCTCGGGCAAACCTTTACACACTAAGGTAGAACAGGAGCGACTAAGTAAGTAAGCGACTTGAAAAATGCATATTCTGATGGCACGTATTCATAAGGGTAAAACTCTCCGCGTGGGGTCTTGCGCCCACATTTTTTTTAATTTTGAAAATATAGGTTGGGGAGGGAGTCTGAAGGTGAGTGGTTGAAGAGGGATAGACCCATGTCATCAATAGTCACATCATACACGGCAGCTAATTAGGGTAGCCGCCGTTGTGTGGCGTCTAAAGGCTCTCCTGTGGATCAGAAGGTGGGCCCGAATCCAAACAGAGCCGGATTTTTTTTTTCTTAAAAAAATTTACCTAGTTTTGACACGGTACCATGAAAAGTTTTGGGAAGTTGAGGCGCCCGGTGAGATGTTAAATACTACATCGCCCACAGCAGCACTAGATGCAGAATACGTCTGAAAGAGTGGAAAACAGTATTTTTAAAGGAAAAACAAATTAAAGATATATTGACATCGTATGTGCTGGGCTAAAAGGCACAGATGTTACAGCTTAGATGTAAACCACAACACAATGCGCCAACACGATAGTGACTGTACGAGTTCAATTTTATAATTTGTTTTATAGATGTGAAATGGGAATATATAAACCTAATTTTTAAAATTTTTTATAAATATTCACAACTGGAAAATAAACAAAATAAATATTAGCAAGTCTCAACCATATCGATTAGCTTCAATGAGACTAGTATCTACAATAAAACTCAATTTTATAATATTTTAAGAAAGTATTAAACAGACTATGACAATTTAAGCACTTCTTTGAAATGTATGTAAGAGTTTGTTAAAATATTGCGTTTTGTTTTTCTGAATCCCATTCCACATTTTGATTAGGCACAGTGACTTGCAGACAGTAATGGCGTTGAGTGGAATGTTTGGAAGAGATGGACCAGGTCCTTTATGGGGCGGCGGGCCCACTCCAGGCCTGTTTTACAATTTCCCTGGTAGCAGAAATACATCAGGGATGGAAGCAAAACAAGTCACTCAGTGAGTCGATATATTTTTGATTATGTTTAGTATAGCTATTTTTTAAATAAGTGCTGTGAATTTTTTCAAATTACCCAATCATAAAATATATTGGCTATCGGCTATCCTCCGAACTTCTACCCCCACATTATGGCGGCAACAAATATCCTTACGGGGCTCAGTCCTATTAAAAATATGCGAACTTTCGGCGGCAAAACGAGGATCGGCTTCGTATAACGAAACAAATGCTCTTAACAAGATCTCAGCCATATGTTAATAATTGAATTGCGGACCTGTTTCTGTGCCCTGTTTCGGTGACTATGCCTCACCGCCGACGGTATCCCCCCGGATGGGGGCTAAACTAGATGGCTGGGACTCACGAGAAGCAGCTACTGCATCTCCTGCAACTTCTTCCAATTAATTTTCTCGTGAGTCCCAGGCACCTAGTTTATCCCCCCATCCGCGCAGTGGCGAGTGGGATACTGTCGGCTGTGAGTGTAACCGCGTTTTGCACATGCCAAAAAGTTTGAGGACAACAACGGCACTAATCTGCGTTGGTGCACGTGGTCTCACCGCCATGTGGCTATTATCATCAGTAATGTTGTGTGTCTCAAAATTGCCAATGGTCACTAGTATCAACTGCTAGTATCGTCTGCAGTGTTACATCTCTTGAAATTGTCAGGTAATCCTAGTTTTGCCGCGATTCGTTCGTCGCCGGAAGTTGGCATATTTTTTATAGGACTGAGCACCCTAAGGATATTTGTTCGGTTGCTATAATGCCGGGGTAGAAGTTCGGAGGAGAGCCAATATAATATTATTTTTAAATGCAAAAGAACAATTTGTAAGTAATTACGAATGATAAATATTATTTTAATGCAGAACTCATGTGGGTTCTGAAGCCCCTTTATGGGAGGGTATTGGTGGTATGGTATGAAGAACAAGCATGTCGTAAAAGTCGACTAATTGGGGATGTGATGATTCGAAATCGAGTGCTAGTGCATGAGAATAGAGAGGCGAGGAACCATTGAACCAACAGTCTGCTTACTGACATTTTGCAACAAATAGTAAAATAAACGGTCAATTCACCCACATTAAACGAACTACTGTCTGTTGAAGGAGACCAGAGTTTGTTCTTCCCAGAAGAAGATAGACTGATTAGACTGCAAGACCACATTTATTCATCTAACAGGTTAAATTAAATTTGACATACAGTAACTTGAGTAACCCTTGAAACAAAACCGAAACAGTGCATGTTAGTAGAACCCCTGACCCATTTTACTATATGTACAGCTGAACGGTTCTATTTAGGGAATTTGGCTATCCTCCGAATAACGGTCGGTAAAGATGGCGGCAGCAAAATATCCTTTCGAGCCACAGTCACGTGACCTTATTTGCAGTTCTCCGGCGACCACCGTCGCGAGTCCCCCATGATTGGATTAGGGCTAAACTAGATGGCTTCAGGAGATGCGGAACCTGCTGCTCGTGGGTCCTAGCCATCTAGTTTAGCCCCAATCCACGCCGCGTGGGGGTAGTCACCAGGGAACCGCAAATTAGGGCGCCGGAGAACCGCAAATTAGGTCATGTGACTGTGGCTCGAAAGGATATTTTGTGGCCGCCGTCTTTACCGACCGTTATTTAGAGGATAGTGGGGATTTTAAATATCTAGGAAGTATGATCGCAGAAGATGGTAAACTGACAGAGAAATAGAAACCTGAACCAGATGTCGTAAAGTAAAGCAAGTGTACTTTAAGTACTTATATACCAGTTGGTGCCATTATTAGTAAGTACATCTAGTCATAAATGTGAATGTAGAGATATTATAAAATGCATATTGATCATTTCCATTTCAACATTAAGCTATCAGTGCCAAAACATAGACAGTAAAGCCCATGTACGCAGATGACCATTTACGAGATGAGATGCCTGAGAAAAGCTGCCAGCACAACCATGATATAAAAATCAAATAAATAAGGTTTTGCTTAAGGTGCAGATTTAATGGCAAATGCAGAAGGTATAGACATGTTTGTATCTTGGCCGGTGCTGTGTCATGGACTTTGTACATCAGTGCTGTGTCATGGACTTTGTGCATCAGTGCTGTGTCATGGACTTTGTGCATCAGTGCTGTGTCATGGATTTTGTGCATCAGTGCTGTGTCATGGATTTTGTGCATCAGTGCTGTGTCATGGACTTTGTGCATCAGTGCTGTGTCATGGATTTTGTGCATCAGTGCTGTGTCATGGACTTTGTGCATCAGTGCTGTGTCATGGACTTTGTGCATCAGTGCTGTGTCATGGACTTTGTGCATCAGTGCTGTGTCATGGACTTTGTGCATCAGTGCTGTGTCATGGACTTTGTGCATCAGTGCTGTGATTCTCCTTACGTATGATCTGCGAGAGGAGACTATACCACTGTGACGGAGAGATGTCTTTCAGCAGCCAAAAGGTTCCTTTATCAACCAAACGTCAACTGACAAAAACTTAAATGGTGCTTCCTTTTAGCATTCTCTTGGACTTGTCTAAAGAAGTGGAGTTGATTAAAAGAACAGGCACTAACTTGGTCTGCTGTAGCCTAGGACAGGGCTGTTCAACAAGCCACCTAGCAAGTTGCCCACCGATCATTGCCATTCATATTGTATTCTTCTTTGCATTGACCAGCGGAAAGTTCTGGTTGTTGGTCCACTTCTGTACTTAGGTCTTGTTACAGAACTTGAAAGTTGGTTTGTTGCCTCATGCAAATTCACTTCAAAGGACATCATCATCATGTAGCAGGTCCTTTGCAGAAACGTCGCTCTCATCACAGTCTGCCTGTAAGAAACTCGGTCTCTTGCCAGTTCTCCCGCCCCATGAACTTTCACACTCAAGGATTCACTTATATCCTGTGCTCATCTTCGTGTCGATAGGACATAATATATTAACTTTCTATGTTCGGACTCAGGCCTGTGACAGTCTCCATTTTCAACATTTTGGCCTGAGTAAACTTAGTTGAATAGCCCTGGTCTAGGATATTTAATCAACCTAAGACACACTGTAATGACAGTGACTGTTGTATGACTGTATTTACCTTCATTCCTTTTAATGATTGTTTTTCTTTGCAGGTCCCCAGTTGTAACAGGAAGTTCAGTCTTGGGACTACAATTCAAAGGAGGGGTTATCATCGCTGCAGATATGCTTGGCTCATACGGTTCCTTGGCTCGGTACAGGAACTGCCCTAGACTTTTGAAGGTCAATGATACAACAGTCATTGGAGCAGCAGGAGACTATGCAGATTTTCAGCATTTGTCCAGTGCCATTGAACAGAGAGTGTAAGTTTCAGCATTTGTCCAGTGCCATTGAACAGAGAGTGTGAGTTTGGGGTCATAGAATTTTTAGGTCATAGAATTGTTAAGATAATGGGGCAGTGACATTGATTTCAACCCCAAGTTAAGTAAAGAAATTTAATGAACTATTACCCGTAGCAGCGATTCATAACCCTTTCTTGAATAACTAAGTTGGAGTTGAGTTGGGTTAAAGAATTAACATCACAGCACTCGGGACATTCCCATATGCCCTCTGCCTCGTCTTCAGCAGCCAGCACAGTTTCATTAATAATGGAACTGTTCATATTTTGGTTATGTGTCGGTCTTGCCTTTTCTCTGAGTGTAGTTAGCTGACCAGACCCTGTGGTCACACTCAGGTTCATGATTCACTAACGTGTAGAAGTAGAAGAATTTTTATTGTGCCTGAACAGTTTGCATAGAGTTGAGTTCATAACTAAGGTCACAACACTCTGGAGATTCATATTCATGCTCCGTACCCACCCTCAGCAGCCTGCACATAGTTCCTCTATTATTGTGTGTCTGTCTGTATGTATGCATAATATGGGCACATATATTTGATTACATGCAACATGTATGCATCTTTATATTGTATCTGTTCCTCTCCTCTCCACTGTTACTCTGCTATCCTCAACTTTCACTCACTCTCATGCTGTCTCCAATTTATGTTGTCAACTTGTAGATATATAATACAAGGGTTGAATATGCTATCACTCTACCTTCTGTTGTATTTCCTACTGTTGATAGAAAGATTTAACCAGGCCTTGGTAGCAGATAACCTGCTGTCTAGTATGGGTATGGCATCTGTGTGTTTGTCTAGAGAGCTTGTATGATGTCAGTCTCAGATAAAATTAAAAAAATATTTATAAGTGAAGGATCAATTGCATTTTCTCCTCATAAATGATGTAATTTAATCTTTATAAAAAATAACCAATTTGTGTAAATTTTTATGTTCAGAATCGACGAAGAGTGCATGAATGATGGATTTGCCTACACACCAACAAGTCTGCACTGCTGGCTGACACGTGTGCTATACAACAGGAGGTGCCAGTTCAACCCCTTCTGGAATACTTACATTGTGGCTGGACTTGAGAATGATCAGCCGTAAGTAGGGTTTTATTTATTTAATCTTTAAAGATTCTTTCTTTCCTCGAGACCCTTTCAGCACCAGGTTTTGAAGAGGCGTCTAAAGTGAGCCGTGGTATAGATACAAGTAGTCACAGGATTGGCTATTTAATCTATCCATCACTTTCATGTGCTAGCTCTAGTTTTAAATAAATTACTAATACATAACTTTAGGAGAGAATTAGGCAACTTCCAATTGATCAGGATATCAGAGTGGTATTTCTGACAAGCAGTTGTTAATCCAGAATCTGTAGTTTGTAGAATTGATGTAACAGCTCTTCAGTAGAACAATTTGTGCTACAGTTTGCAGGTCACTGTGGCTTGGAAGGCAGTAAAATAGCTGACAGATTGGCCAGAAGTGGCAATGACATTGGGCAGTCAAATAGTGACTTTGCCTACCAAGGGACTAAAAAATTAGTACAATATAGTATCCAAAGGGAGGGCAATGAATTTAAAAAAATTTCCCCTGACTGTGGGGCCCTGGAACCCACACGATGGAGTGAATCTGTTGATTTTGTTGATGTCATTTTTACCTGACCGTGGGCCTCTGGTACCCACACGAGGGAGCGAATCTGTTGATTTTGTTGATGTTATTTTGCTTGCACAAGACCCAGAACATTGCTTTGTTTCCTCTTCAAGGACTTTTGCTTTTTTGAAATCCTCAGGTATCTTGGCTACGTAGACAAAATTGGCATGGCGTACGAGGCTCCAAGTTTGGCCTGTGGGTTCGGAGCATACCTGGCACTGGTAAGGGTTAACATTTAATTATAGATATGTTTATTTTTTCAAATTTTTTCTTTGTTCTTCCTGGGGGGAAATGTGATGTAGCTAGCTAGGCAACTCTCACACTCAGTGGTTGAATATTTCTTCAAGAATAGGGTGGCCAGCTCTTAGCTGCCAGTTTCTTAAACTAAGTGATTTATCTTCTTCTTTACGTTGGTTTCGTATGCTCAGATCAGATCATCAGGTGTTGCCTCTATGAACTCGCATGTCAGTAGCAGGTCCTTCATGGTTCTCCCGAACTTTCTCTGCACACTTTGCTCTTGAGGCCAGGTGTCTTTTCTAAGTTGTAGTTCGAGTGGGCAGGTCTGCAGAATGTGCTGAGGTGTTTGTGGTCCTGTTTGTCAGATACACTGTGGGGGCTGTACAGTCTTTATTTTATGCATGTGGTAGTTGAGCCTGCAGTGTCCTTCCTGTTTGTAGACGAAAAATTGTTGTATGTTGCTTTCTGTTGAGTCTGCTTATGGGATCTTGTGGATGTTTACTGTTAGTTTGTTCTATCCATAATTCCTTGTATTTTCTCTTGATATGTTTTCTGATTTCTGGTAACAACAATGGATGGGTGTGTTGTTTCTCTTTTGTTCCGTTTCTGTCAAGTCTGTCTGCTAACTCATTTCCTGGGCTTAGTGATTAAACTGTTTGCCTTGCGTTCTGAAATTCACGGACTTCTTTTGTGGACTGCAAGAGGAAAACATTAGAGAAAGATCACTAAAATGGAAAAAATATTGACCGGGTGCACAAGGTAGCCGAACATCAGAAGGCTCCGCATGAGTTATTTGAGAGCCTATAAGGTACCTTTTTTATTTCAGTGGCCCATTGGGCATATGTTGGTAGTTTATTTTATCAGACCAGGCCTTTACTTCCCCAGACTTTACCTAGTTCCCACTGAAGACTGGATCAGCCTGTGGGCTATCAGACCAGGCCTTTACTTCCCCAGACTTTACCTGGTTCCCCATGTAGACTGGATCAGCCTGTGGGCTATCAGACCAGGCCTTTACTTCCCCAGACTTTACCTGATGCCCCCTGTAGACTGGATCAGCCGTGGGCCAAGACCATTATAAAAGTCTTACTTAATGTGAATGTGAACCCACCACTTTTTGGCACACAGGCGAGCATGTGGCACTATGCCTCTTAAACTCCCCCATGAGTTGATAAAGAGCATACAAGTATGAATGGGAACTTGTGTAGTTGCATGTGGGCTCCCCACCCCCTTCCCCAGTAAGCTGTATACTTATGCTCCAGTGGGGGTTAAAGAAAACAGAATCTTCTTATATCAGTCTGCTTCTAATGAACACTTGAAGTGTCATGATGTTTGTCAATTTCAGCCAATTATCCGAGACACCATGGACAAGAAAGGAGAACTGACGAAAGAAGAGGCTGTCGATTTGATAGATCGATGTATGAAGTTACTCTACTACAGGGATGCTAGGTCGCTAAATAAGGTCTGTTTGTTTTAAAAAGATTATCCCCACTACAGCAGTATATTGTGTTGAAATCTTTCTGTGCAAAGGTTAATATATTATTTTGTTAAAAGTAATTCAACAAACTGTGTTATTGTATTAATAGATGTAGTTTTATAATAATGAAAAAAAGCCTAAAATTGCCCAGAAAAAAAAGTGACAGATGTGAAAGGGGTGAGGACCTAAAGACATCACTAACATTAGCAGGAGACAGTCATGATATTTGTTGGCCATGTCAATTAGAAGAGGGACACTGGAACTTGTCATCTGTAGACAGATTTATGCAGAAAAAGATAAAGACAGTGTAAGAAGATTTTTTTGTCTCAGCATCAAATAGTGTCCGCTGATGAATGCTGTTTGTGGAAAGGCCTGACTGCCCATGCTAGTCAGCAAGCTGTTATTGATAATGATTATGTTAAGACCTACTAGCTTTTGGACCACCCCCAACCCAACCCACCACCAACCCCCCCCCCCCCCCCCCCCCCCCCCCCCCCCCCCCCCCAAAAAAAAAATAATAACTATTCTGTGTGTACAAGGACAAAAGCCTGAGACTGGCCAAGAAAGACCTGGGTTCAACTATTAAGGCAGACTCAAAACTAGTCTTGGGACTCTCTGTGAGTTCCACGTCTCTATTGGGGGGGGGGGGGGGATCAATGTTCACCAAACAGTCGTCTCATAGGAGGTGACTGGTTAGGGACATTTTTTTAAAAGTCAGTGCAACTGCTTGAGGAAAGGTACCAACAGTCAGTCAGCCACATTTGTAGGATGGATGAGCTAACAAAACTCAAGTTCTGGATCAAGACCAAAGTCCAGGAGTGGACAAGCAACTAGAACTTTCCACCAGATTTTACAGCTGGTGAACACTAAGATGAAGAAGAGATCAAATCTAGGGCATCTGATTTCCAGAAAGGGAAAGACTTGATCAGTCAACAGCAACTCAGGAACCAAATGACATGTGATGTCTTAGGACTCTCTCTCTCTCTCTCCCCCCTCCCCCTCTCTCTCTCTCTCTCTCTCTCTCTCTCTCTCTATATATATATATATATATATATATATATATATATATATAGATATATATATATATATATATATATATAAATAATATAATCAGAAGGAGCACGGCCGGCTGTAGCAAGGCAAAGATTAAGCAACATTAAAAGTCAGCTTTAATTGCAGCTGACTGTTGGCACAGATAGCCAGTCATGAAAGCCAGCAGTAACTGAGTCATTGAGCAGTTTTATGTTTCTGGTGCAGAAAGAAGTTAATGATTACAGATAATGATATGAGGTGGCATTTCTGTGGTGGTTTATGTTCGTGGGAATGACTTATTCTTCTGCTTCTTCTTTTGTTTGCCTGAAATAAGTTGTCTATATCAGCAATTTTGTCTCACTGTTGTTGTTAAATCATTCAGTGGTCCATAGAGTTTACGTTCCACTGTTGTTCTTTCTGGCCAAAAGGTTTGCCATGGAATGACTTATAAATTGTCTGTTTGAATACTTGTTTACAGTACCAGCTGGCAATCATCACAAAGGATGGAGTAGACCTGAGAGGACCAATAGTCTCAGAAACAAACTGGGAGATAGCTCACATGATTAAGTAAGTCTTTCATTTTATTTTTCAGTTGGTGGGGGGGGGGGGGATGCCAGGAAAGAAATGTATTAGAACGAGCATCCAGTAAAGTCAGGGACCCATTTTGTAACAATGACACCTTGGACATATGGTGCTAGACATTTTTGTTTATCGACAATCCAGCTTTTGATAGATAATGTGGTCAACAGCCTGCTGGCTACCTTGACATCCTATAATTTTTTCTGGTGCTCCTTTCAGGCTGGGTCGACCTGGAGGCCCCGGTCAGTTATACAAATTCTGATTCAGATTATGGGCATTTATATTCTCATTGTTGCTGAACTTGAATTGACATTTTCTCGAAAAGCGAGGAAACAGAAACAGTGGTTATATCACAGAAAGAAATCAGATAATACCATCATGTGACTTAATGTGCCCATTAACCCTTGCAACTTCCCAGCTCCTGCCTATTTATAGTGCGAACTAAAAATGCCATCGCTCGACTTCTGTTTAACATAGACTCATGATGCATTTTTGCACCAAATTGAATGCAGAACAAATTTCCAGAAGCAAACATTGTCTAATCTTGTTGAACAGCATCATCCTTTAGCTGTAGAATAGTGAGCCCAAAAGTCTTCTATCTGACAAACGTTTTTGTTTTTAAATTTTTACTGAAATAGTCTTAGCTGAGAGCTCTGTCTAACTATGAAATAAAATTCTGCCAATTCTGCTTTTTGTCATTTTGCACCAAGAATTTCTTATCCATTATGACTGAATAGTCATCTCAAAGAAAAACCCACAAAGATGATCTTTTCCCCAGCCAAACTGCCCATTGTGAGAATTGCTCCCTGGTAAACTTTGAGGATTACATTGTGAAACAATTGACACTCAACTCGAAGCCATAGTGTACACAGTCTACGCTGACAAATACACCTAACCATACACACCTGAAGCACACGTATAACAGAATCTACCCAGACTAATGTAATATGAAATATTTACCTGCAACTGTAACGGCTGATAAGCAAAACACCATGCCGTCTGTTTCCACAATGTTTTTGATGGTAGTTCATAATAATTGTCAAAGTCCGTCTTCAAACTGTTCAGAAATATCTTCACTTTCACTTCACGATGTATCACAAGCAACAAAGTCTCTCACAGCTTCAGATATTGTTCCTCAAACCATGCCGGCTCTTGATCAGCCACCATTATCAAAACGGTACTTATCACAAACATCACCGTATCTCACTGGGTGCAAGATTTCGTTTTAGCTCCCATTCGCGTTGTGGCCATTCCCATGGTCTGTCCTATGTTCTATGGATATTTTTTGCAACGATGCAAGTGTTCTGTTTTGTCATGTTGTGGCTTGATTCATGGCACGTACCCAAATGTAACCAATTCTCAGACTAGTGACAGTTAGTTTAAAGAAAACTGGGACACTAGAAAAGTTGGACACTGGCTCGCATGCACACAACAAAAAGCAGTGGCTCAGTGTCACCTGCTTCGAAAGAGAGCTCCCTAGAACATAGGACAGCCTGTGGGAATAGCCACAGCATGAATGGGAGATGGGCTGTGATTTGAGTGATATGCGCCATCAAAACTTCTGCCTAATGCGTCATCAAAATGGGCACTGACCAGAAATTTTTTTTTAGAAAAATGTACTTTAAGCACTACACACTTGTTTATCCTAAAGAAGCATTGATAAATAAATGGACTAATGCTTTTAACTACATTTTTTGCAAAAGTTCTGATTTCAAAGCTGTAGTAAGCATCCTGTTACGATTGCAGGGGGTACAATCAAAGTAGCCAGGCATAACCGTCATCTGATTGCATAACATGTGATCATCGTAGTCAGTGTGTAACTCAATTGTTGATTTGTTAGTAGAGCTAGGAACGTGTCCATTTGGTATTGTAATCATGCAGTCATCCATTTGTCCTATTATCAGTTTCATTAACAAGTTTCCTATTAGTTTAATTTACAAGCTGTTCATTTGTTAGTATAATATTAAACATTTTACATTATTTTTACATTTTATGTTTTCATTCTTCTCTACAGGGGCTATGAATAATAAGGTCGAGAACCCCTGAATGTCTTGACCAGTGGTTCTGTTTTCTTCTTCAAAATAACACTGGTGTTTTCTTGTATGGGTGAACTTGTGAAGTTGAGCTGTATTTTTTGTTTGTTAAATGTATGGGCTTGTGTCTGTGCTTGCACTCCAAGGATGGATGTCTGTGCTTGCACTCCAAGGTTGGATGTCTGTGCTTGCACTCCAAGGTTGGATGTCTGTGCTTGCACTCCAAGGTTGGATGTCTGTGCTTGCACTCCAAGGTTGGATGTCTGTGCTTGCACTCCAAGGTTGGATGTATGTGCTTGCACTCCAAGGTTGGATGTCTGTGCTTGCACTCCAAGGTTGGATGTCTGTGCTTGCACTCCAAGGTTGGATGTATGTGCTTGCACTCTAAGGTTGGATCTGTGCTTGCACTCCAAGGTTGGATGTATGTGCTTGCACTCCAAGGTTGGATGTATGTGCTTGCACTCCAAGGATGGATGTCTGTGCTTGCACTCCAAGGATGGATTTGTTGCCCGTATTACATCATGTGCAACTTTGTTTAGTGTGTCTCAAGGTTACTGACCTAAAAAATTTATTTGATCTTTTAGCTCCATACCCACATGTTTTGAATGAGCTAGCGTCTCATCTTATCCGTTGTGGCCTAGAATAGAGCCCATTTTGTACGTGTATTTTGTTTTTCTTCTTCTTCTTTGTGTTCACTGTCTGTGTTTGTCCACCTCCTGACTTTCAGTCTTGTTCCAGAACCTAAGTGTTGCCTGCACATTTTGTTTCACACCTCTGGCTTATTTGCATGCAGACTTCTGGTCCCTTGCTTCTCAAGCAGATGTTCTCCGACTTCAAAAGATGACCTCACTTAGTCAACTCCTGTGACATTTGTGTTGGGGAGGCAGTGGGTCTGTTCTAGTTCTTACAGGGATGAGTAATATAGTGTCAGCTGCCTGCAGTGGCCAAGGATAAGAAGGCTTTATGCTTGTTAGTTTGGAACTTGCACTCCAGTAGGGTCATGAAGGGCAGAAGGCAGGGCTGTGGTCTTTGAGAACATTGTTCAGAATATCTTCCAATCAGAATATCCAATGAATTGCCACACAAAAAAAGCAAGAAAGATTGTACAAGAAATAGAAAGATTAGAACTATTGAAACCGTAACCATAATTGGTTATTTATCTATAAATGTGTTTTAGAAAAACACAAGATTGAAAGTGTCAGGCACCTAGTGAACATGAACCCAACAATGCTGGCAGAGAGAATATTGTCCCCAGTCTTTGTCTGCTGTCACATGATTTCAGCTTGAAGCAAGCCTAGACCGTCCCTTCTGTCATTGTTTCATCACTCACCTGTAATTCTAGTGTGGATGAGTGTTTCATATTCTCTATTATGTCTGCATGAAGAATTTTCATGATGTTAGGACACAAATCTTATGAGTGATTGCATTCAATTTTATGATGTATTTGTGTTTTTGACAAAGTGTCCGACAAATTAAAGTGTATGAACATAATGTATTTTATGGTTTTAATTGTTACAGCGGTTAGGTTGAGGGAGAGAAACGGTATTATTGGTTGTTGGCCATTTAGATGGCTGGTTCCTGATTGACCATTTGGATAATTTGTTACCTAATTGGAACTATTTTAAAGAGTGGCTGGTTGAACTTTTGGATGGTTGGTTTGCTAGCTGGTCATTTGAATGGTTGCTTGGTTGTCCGTTTGGATGATCGGTTCCTTGGTTGGTCATTTGGATGGTGAGTTCCACAGTAAGTGTTTTGGGTTTTAAAACATCTAAAGACAGCTTTAAACTCTTACTAGCTTCCACTTCATCTGACCCTGTAACGGCTTGTGAATATAGTTTTGCAATCCTGAAATACTAGGATTTCAAGTCACCTGCAAGTGATTAGCCTAGAAAAATCACACAATAGGCATTAAGTCCCAGTTTTTTTTCTTTTTCGCAATGGCTATAAAAGTTTTGTTTCTTTGTCTTATGTAATAGTGAGTGACTCATAAGGAATATAATGCTAGCTTCATATTTTTATAGACCTGTCAAGGCCAGACCTGCACTTGTGGGGACCTGACCTAGTACACATGTAAGGTTGGGTCATGCCAGACACCTGACCTAGTACACATCTAAGGTTGGGTCATGCCAGACACCTGCACTTGTGGGGACCTGACCTAGTACGCATCTAAGGTTGGGCCATGCCAGACACCTGACCTAGTACACATCTAAGGTTGGGCCATGCCAGACACCTGCACGTGTGGGGACCAGACCTAGTACACATCTAAGGTTGGGCCATGCCAGACACCTGCACTTGTGGGGACCTGACCTAGTACACATCTAAGGTTGGGCCATGCCAGACACCTGCACGTGTGGGGACCTGACCTAGTACACATCTTAAGTTGGGTCATGCCAGACACCTACACTTGTGGGGACCTGACCTAGTACACATCTAAGGTTGGGCCATGCCAGACACCTGACCTACTACACATCTAAGGTTGGGTCATGGGGGGGGTGGGGGGATGGGGCGCTCAAGGACTTAAATCTGCTTTAAAGTGGCAATAATAATAATTCTCATACTTATAATTATTTTGTGCTGATTGTTAATTTTTGAGATTATCTTTATCTGGCATGACCATAAGTGCTCCGATCTCCTCCTGAGTATGTCTCTAAGTGTTTTTAGGCCAACAACTCCAATTCTATTCTGGCTGATGTTAACGACAGGTGGCTCCCGCCACGTTTTCCTGTCTCGCTGCTTCAGTTCTTAAATTCAGGGTATGCAATTTATTCAGTGACAAATCGTGTTCCACGAAAATGAAAGCCCACAGTGTTTTGTCTCTCTTATGGCATTGATGGAGTCTCGTCTGTGCTGAATGGCAGGTAGATATATTTGCAACAGAATGAAAAACCTCAACAAATGCTTAAAAAAGAACGTTGGTTAAGGGGGGGGGGGGTTAAGTTTTCAGAACCCCCCAAGTTCGGGCGCCTATGTCCTCTCTCACACCTCATCTTATATGAATTCTTCTCCCCATCCGGTTTTTTCCCTAGAAAAAGTGATCTTAAATAACAAGCGCTCCAACCTTGTCCCCAGACAAATTTGTATGGCATCCTTTTATGTGTAAATTGCTGTCTGTCTGGTGCATTATCTCCGCCCCATTTTGTCCTGTTATCTCCCAGCAAAGTCTACCACCGTTTTAGGACATCAGCTTAAGAAAGTCAGTAAGTGGAACTCGACAAAGTCTACCACCATTCTGGGACATCAACACAAGAAAGTCAGTAAGTGGAACTCGACAAAGTCTACCCCCATTCTGGGACATCAGCACAAGAAAGTCAGTAAGTGGAGCTCGACAAAGTCTACCACCATTTTGGGACATCAGCACAAGAACGTCAGTAAGTGGAACTCGACAAAGTCTACCACCATTTTGGGACATCAGCACAAGAACGTCAGTAAGTGGAACTCGACAAAGTCTACCACCATTTTGGGACATCAGCACAAGAACGTCGGTAAGTGGAACTCGACAAAGTCTACCACCATTTTGGGACATCAGCACAAGAACGTCGGTAAGTGGGGCTCGACAAAGTCTACCACCATTCTGGCACATCAGCACAAGAACGTCAGTAAGTGGGGCTCGACAAAGTCTACCACCATTCTGGCACATCAGCACAAGAACGTCAGTAAGTGGAACTCGACACATAATAATAGTCATTAAAGTGGCATCGAAAAAAAAGGGACGGGACGGGGGGGGGGGGGGGGTTTGCAAATCTTCTATCTTTCACCCACTCTTCGTTTTCCCATCTTTCTAAAAAGTTCTGGGGGGGGGGGGGGGGGGTTCACAAGCACCCAATTTCTGACCCCCCCCCCCTCCCCCCCCCCCCCCCCCCCCCCCCCCCGTCACCATGCCAATCTAATAGTTTCAGAATGAACTGTCAACATCTAAAAACTGACATTAGATGTGCCTTCCTACTTCTACTAAATGTTATAATTTAGTCTGTAGATCAGTTTTCTCCATTCTCTCGCTTTAAAAATCCCCTGAGAATTTAAATAAACGCCGAACAACGAACAAATAACACTGTTTCTTAAATTGTTTGTGTAAGATTTGTTTTTCTTATCCCCGTCTGGTATTGATTTTTCTGTTTATTGTCGCCAGATTTATTGCGTCCCGCTGTCTAAACGTTTCTGATTTCCTCCTGTCTGTGTGTGGCAATCTCCAGCAAAGTGCAGTTTTAATCTGTTTGCAACAAATTTGAAACAAAATATGTGTCCGACTTTCGATCTTTGGTAGACGCACATCCATCAATAAAACCATGGCCCAGAAACAACATTTACGTTTGTGCTGATTTGCCTTTTCCCCCCATCTATTTTGTTTTAGGGGTGAACGAAATGTGGAACTTGGAAACGCCGACAGTGGCCACGGATTGATGTTAGCAAATGCACGAGTGGTTTTTATAATATAGTGAAGTGGTAGTTGTAGGGGAGGTCTTTGACATAGGGAAGGTCTTTGACACAGGGGAGGTCTTTGACATAGGGGAGGTCTTTGACACAGGGGAGGTCTTTGACATAGCCCGAGACTGTCAATTATCTTTGTATTGATCTGGAGGCTGCGTAGTCTCGAGGCATCGCATTCGCTTCGAGTGCTGGAGGCCCCGGGTTCAGGCTGGGATTTTTTTCACATGGACTTCTAGTAATTTCCCCTGGTCTCTGGCTAGTAAGATCGGACGCCCGTGTGTATTGTTGCGCTCGTTTAAAAAAAACCTGGCAGTTGGAGATAAAAAAAGAATAGCCCAACGGCCATACCCGGGCAAAATGTTGAGTTAAAAACTACCCAAAGTATTTCAGGATCCTCGCCAGTGCTACGGAGTTCGTGCACTGCGCTGAGATTCTTCGGACTCAAGCTCGAGTTATAAGTAGAATTGAACATTTTTGGGTTACTACACTTGTGCCATAATGTTGATCCGTTGTTTAAACATAAACAAAATCTTATCGCCACTTGCAGATAGATAGAGTGTTGGCCTGTT